CCCAAGTAGCTGGGACCACAGGCGTCGGCCACAATGCCTGGCCATTTTTTGGTTGCAGCCATCATTGTTGTTTGGTGGGCCCGGGCTGGGGATTTGAACCTGCCACCTTAGGTGTATGTGGCTGGCGCCTTAGCCGCTTGAGCCACAGGCGCCGAGCCTGAATCGTACATTTTAAAACAGGTGAATTGTATGGTATGTGAGCTATGATCATGCCACTATACTCTGGCCCAGGCAACAGAGACCCTGTTTTTATAAAAATAAATAAAAGCTCTGCCCCATACTGGGCTTGCCTTCACTGACCAATAAGTCTTATTATGAGGTTCTGGCCCAGTGCAAATGAAAGCCATGCCCACCCAGGACATTTCTTCCTGGTCCCCACAGACCCATCACATTGTATTTAATGTGTTCGCTCATTTTGGTTCTTTTGCTAGACTGATCCTTGGCACTCTACCCCCTCCCCCCCAAAAGCTAGGCATCCAGCCACCTAAGGCTAATAGCAGGGTCTTGCCACGTATTCGCAGTGAGAGGGCAGTGTGCACACAGACATGTGGGGGCAGATGACACCCACACTCACTGTTCCACAAGGAAAGGAGAACCAGGCTGCCAGGTCTGATACTTAAAAAGGTAACTATGTAGTTCTTTCTCCTTTTTGTGTTTGGTTTTAAAAGGTAATGACATAGCTTAATTGTTGATACCTTATTGGTTGCTTTTTTTTCTTTGTGAGACAGTCTTATTTTGTCGCCCTTGGTAGAGTGCCATGGGGTCACAGCTCACAGCACACAGCAACCTCCAACTCTTGGGCCCAAGTAATTCTCCTGCCTCAGTCTCCCAAGTAGCTGAGACTACAGATGCCTCCACAATGCAAGGCTATTTTTATTTTATTTATTTATTTTATTTTATTTTCTGGCTATTTTTAGAGATGAAGTCTTGCTCTGGCTCAGGTTGGTCTATCCACCCACCTCGGCCTCCCAGAGTGCTAGGATTACAGCTGTTAGCCACTGCACTCAGCCTAGTATTTGTCTCTCTTCTTTTCTTTTCTTTTTTTCTTTTTTTGAGACGGAGCCTCAAGCTATCCCCCTGGGTAGAGTGCCGTGGCATCACAGCTCACAGCAACCTCCAACTCCTGGG